AGCATGCACCCGCGGGGTCCCCACCCGGCACCCGGGCTCAGAGCCCGAGGAAGCCCCCTCCCCCCGCACGCCTCCCAAGGTGGCCCGGCTCTGCCCGCACTGTAGGTGTCAAGAGAAGAAGGCCTCAGATTGGCAGCACGAATAAAGGTGCTTTCATCCAGGCCCCAGACCTCCATAAACGCTCTGACTTACACCGCCGGGAGCGAAAAATCAAACATGCACACGCATGCGCGAGCGCGCACACACACACACACACACACACACGCACACACACTCCAGAGAAAGTGCTAGGTGAGCTGGGAGGTGGGCTGTGCCCCAGAGGCCTCCAAAGCCCCAAAGCCTGAGCTTATATGCATCTCATTTCCTCTCGAAGAGCGAGCAGCACAGGACTGGAGCCCGCCCAGGAGACCCACAGGGAGCTCACAGGCAGCCGGGAAGAAATATGCAAAAACAGCGAATCTGTCCGAGCCGAGCCTGCTGGGCTTAAGGAGAGAAGCCTGCACAGCCAGGAGGGCCTCGGAACACAGAGGTCACTGGCGTGGATGTGAACCGAGTCCCCAAGATCCTCCCGGTCTTTCTGCCCCACCATGGCCTCCTCCAGTCCTCCAACCAGCAATCCGAAAATCTCTTCTGAGTCCATCACCTTCTTAGCAGTTGATGCACAGTGGCCAGAATGAAAGTATAACCAAAATGTGGTATCTGTGTGCAGAGGAATATTATTCAGTCTTAAAAAGGAAGGAAATTCTCCCGTGGTGTTTCAACGTGGTGCGGAGTGAAGTGAACCGGTCGGACAGACAGATTCTGTGCGGCTCCGCTTGTATGAGCTATCCAAATAGCCCATTTATAGAAACGGAAAGTAGAACATGCTTCCGGGGAGTGGAGGAGGTAGGAATCGGGAGATGGAGCCCAATGGTACAGTTTCAGTTCTGCCTGATGTCAAAGTTCTGGAGACTGACTATAGGATGTCTTACCTACTGTTCTCATTGCTGAGACACAATACCCAACACCCACAAGTTAAAGGAAGAAAGGTTTATTTCTGCTCACAGTTTGTAGAGGTTTCACTCCCCAGTCGGCTGGCTCCAAGGCAGGGCGGCACGGCAGAGGGCATGGCAGAGGAGACACAGTCCATGGCAGGGTAGGCAGGAGGCAATGAAGCAGCAGCAACAGCCTGCATTTCCCTTCTATCCCGTTCAGGCAGGCTACAAGCATTTTGGTTGCTGTCACTCACACCTAGAGTGCGCCTTTCTATTATCCGTGCTCAGAACTATGCTAAAACAATCCAGTGGGCTAATTTACTACTATGAACCCTTAATCCCAGTATCACACACCCTAGATCCAGCCAGCTCCAAAAAGCCCCATCTATGCATTCATGAAGCTGGGGAGGGAGCAGTCTGGATACAGGCCGTAACACAACAATGTGAATATTCTGCTATAGTTTAAATGTGTCTCCTAAAAGTTCAAGTGATGAAACCTTAAACCTCAAAGTCATTTGTCATTGGAATTTGGAGGGGGAGGCTTGCAGGGTAGGTAGGGTTAGATGATCTGTAAGTTTATACATTATTTGTGGTTGTGGAGTCGTGAGGCTGATGGTCATGAGGGTGAGTTCCCATGGTGCACTAGAGCTTTACAAGAAGAGAAGAGACCAGAGCTTCCTTGCCGTGCCCCACCCTGCAGTGCCCACTTGATGCCCAGAACCTCCAGGAGCACAGGGGTGATGCCTGCTTGTTCACTGCCCATTCCCAGAAAGTCTGCCTTCCTGAGGACAGGCACACAGTCGGCAGAGGACCAAGACTTCAGGAAAAGGAAGGCTCTAGGACAAGGCAGGTGCCAAGCCTTGCCGTGGCAGGGTGGTCAACAGACAGGACAGGTGTTTGCAGAGGAAACGGCCTGGCGCTGCTTTTTCCAGGAGCCTCCTGCGGAGGAACAGTTCTGCTCCACTCCATTTCACTGACACGGTCAGTGCTGGGCATTGGCTCTCACAGCAGTCTTTCCTCTGCCTCCTCGAGTGGAGGTGCTGGGTCCTTGGCTGCTGCCAGTCTCCTGCAGAAGGCACTTGGGGAAGAGATGGCCTCAGATGTGATGATCTATTTCAGCACATTGGCCTGCAAACATCTTGAAAATTAAAACTTCAACCAACGCTGAGGAATATACTGTGGGATAGGTAAATCTTCTATTTAAAAGTTTTGGGGGAGTCGGGCGTGGCAGCATGTGCCTGTAATCCCAGCACTCGGGAGGCTGAGGCAGGAGGATTGCTGTGAGTTGAGACCAGCCTGGGCTACATAGTGAGTTCCAGGTCAGTCTGAACTACACGGTGAGACCCTGTCTCAAAAACCAAAAAAACCCCAAACAAACAAAAAGTTTTGTGGGGCTGGGGATTGAGTTCAGGGGTTCCACCGCCTGCCTAGTAAGCACAAGGACCTGAGTTCAATCCCTGGTACCGAAAAAACAGAAACACAAACAAACAAAAAATATTTTCATGTTGCTATATTGTTTTCACAGTTCTAAATGACTATTTCTTTATTGGCTCTGGCTTGGTTCGGGGGTGTTAACCAGTGACCTCAAATCTCACTCTTGTGACATAAATGTTCTCTTACTGTTTGATGTCCATTGTGAATCAGTATTGAACTTGGGTCCTTGCACTTGCAAGGCAGGCCACCGAACCGCTGAGCTAAATCCCCAGCCCGTGTCCTTCATTCTTGCACCAGACATGAGGAGCAGCCCCAGTGTGGGACACGCTGGGCTTTGGGCAAAGGAAATAAAAGAGAGATGGCAGAACCAGAAGACAGATGGGCAAGGAAGGCGCGAGGCAGCTCCGGGGCAGCACCACTGGCCAGGGCAAGACCTGAGGCCAAGCCTGACATCAGCAGCCTCTTCCCACAGGAAGTTTCTAAAGCAGATCTTTAGAAACCACAACACAATCTGGCAGTTTACCTGAACTTTTTTCAGCACTAACAATTGGAGCCAGGGCCTTGTGCACGCCGGGCCAGTGCTTTGCCACCGAGCCACATCCCCAGCCCTTTCTGCGCCACTCGGATGGAGATGGACAGTAACCTGGCCAGTTCCCCTCCGAAGACGTGGCAACACCCTCTGTTCTCTAAAGCTCCAGGGCTGCTTCTCTTCCGAAGGCCCTCGCCTCGGCTGATCCAACCCTGAGCACTTTCTGACAGTTTTCAGCTTTGTGGGCAGTAGCCCCTTTGGACTGATTCTTTGTCCTTGTGGCCTGGCATCCTGGCAGTGGGGAGCTAATGAGAGAAGGAAGACAGCTCTCCTGCAACAAGTCACTGCTCCTGGGAGCCGTGGCCTTTCCTGCCTCTGGGCTTGTGCTGCTGCCCGGCTCCGAAAACTCCCACGACACACGCAAAGCCGTGTCCTGCGCTGGATCCCAGGATATATTTCTTCCACATCCTGGACTTGGTAATTCGGGACAAAAACCTGCAGGTATCTATATACAGAGACTCACAACGGAATCCTGTCCTCTGTGACTCTGTGTGCCAGGCAAACTTGAGGGGAAGGAGGCCAGCTGTGCATGTGCCCCGCTGCAGTTCTGGACTGCCTGAGCCACCTGGGAGGTTAAAGGAAGATTCCTGGGCCCCCACCCCAGGCGTCCTCACTCAGATGAGGACTGGCCTGGGATCCGTTTAACAGTCTCTGGAGGCCGCTGCCACACTGAGGGAGTTTCTGCGCTGGAGCTGGCAACAGTCCCGGAAGGACAGTAAGAGCAGCGGGAGAGCAGCCGCCTGCAGGGGACGTGGGGGCGGGGTCCACAGCCAGGCCTTGCTGGAGCCTGGAGCTGTGGTCAGCAGGGCCCCTCTCTCTTCTCCCCACCACCGCCTGCTCTGGAGCCCTCACTTACTAATCCACCCCTCCCCGCCACTGCCACCCGCTGCCTGTACCCAAGGAAAATCAACTCCTAAGCACCTTTAACTCAGATCGCCAAGTCCAAAGCCCCGTGGTAGAGTTCTGCCCGCTTAGTTTTTGGCAGGTGCTTGGCCTCGGCCCCTTCCTGCTGGGCTGAGGGACATCCTGATGCTAAAGCAGGTGTCCACAGCCTGGGCCACTTTCTTTTCTTCCTTCCGTACTATGCAGCGTGCAAGTCCACAGGCTTTTTTCCAGGTCAGCTATTGAAAAATTATAATAGATGCTTTTCCTTAGGGTAAAGGTAATATGTACTTACTGTAGAGAAATTTTTAAAATGTGGTGAAGTAAAAATGTTATTTTATTTTATTTTTTACATTTTATTTATTTATTTATTTTGGTATCAGGAATTGAACTCAGAACCTTGTGCTTGTGAGGCAGGCACAGTGCCACTGAGCTAAATCCCCAGCCGGTAAATAAAAATTTTAAAAAGACCGTCAGTATACTACAACCCAAAGACCATGGGGGAAAAGGCCTCCTAGGGAATTGGTTTTCTGGGATTCATTTTTACCTTGCTTAGCCATCTAGGTACCAAGAGGCCGCCATACCCACGGCTTATAGGGAGGCTGGCTACTGCTCCCACTGACTGCAGACCTTGGCATTGTCCATGTGATGCTGGTTTTAGTAGCGTATGGAATGCAAGAGTTGTAGGGTCATGGAGACTCCAAAGGAAAATCTGGGAGGCCAGGTAAGGAGTCCCTGAGAAGGCAGTTCGTGAAGCTGTGGCAGTACAGCCAAAGGTACGATGGAGACCCCAGGAATCAGAGGCAGACGTGTGCAACGTCTGCCAAGGAGAGCTGCAGGCCATAACTGCAGCCAGCCCAAGGGAGAGGCTGCGTGGGCTGCAGATGGCTAGGCCACGGGGTGGGGCTGCCTGTGCCCTTTGGAACTCACACTTAACACCACATGCCCCGCATGCCAGACAGGAAGCCGTAAGACTTAATGTTTGCTCTGCTGGGTTTCAACCTTGCTTTTGATTTCTTTCCTTCCCGCCTACTTCTTGGGAATGAGAATATTTACCCCATGTGATTGCATCTTTGGATTAATTTGTTTTATTTTTACAGAGATTCACAGCTAAGAGTTTGCTTGAGCCTCAGGTGAGACTTAGACCTTTGAAAAATGCTGGTGGGATTGTTGAGACATCAGAGACGGGACCATTGTGTTTCCAGTTGTATACAAGATAGTTGGTCTTAAGTTAGGCAGAGTCATAAATTGGTTCTTGCCTTTGTTTGGAGATTCAGTATGGTTTAGGGAGATGTGTTTGGGGGTTACAGTAACAAGGGGTAGATTGTGACCATTAATCCTGGCACATTAACTTCACTAGATAAGAAACGTCTGGCGGAGTAGTAGCGCATCGCCCTGGGTGTCGGGGTGGAGCACGGAGGTGTGGCCTCGGGTACTGTCTTTGGTCCTCACCTGCTCCTTTCTGGCAGTACTCTGTCCTCCTTCTCAGGCACTGCGAAATGACCAGCTTTGCTTTCTCACGTCCCTTTGCCATGATGTTTCTGTCTTATAGCAAGCTGATCGTAGACTGAAAACTTGAGTTACGTTGGTGCCAGGCATTGGACCCAGCCTGGGAAAGCTGACCAATGTAGCTTAGATTTCCTCTCCTAATGTAGTATTTCGTACCACTTCTATATTGCTAATTTCCAAACCCATGTTTCTTGTTCCAAAAGAAAGAAAAGATAGCTACTCTGGAAGAGTAGGGGGCATCGGAAAAGTGAGCGCCTCAAGCTCTTGTCTCTGGTGCCTTTTATTTAGGACTAGTGGCTCTTCCCATCCCCTGTGCAGGGACCTGGAAATTTGTCACAGTCTGGCTTTCTGGCTGGCTAACCTGGGCATTTATGTCTAATTTTTTCCTGGCCATTTGATTCCTTCCTGCCCTTTTGTGATGGGTAAGTTGGGGGGGAGCATTATAGAAAGGTAGCTTTACAGTTAATTATTAAGTAAAGGGGACATGTGCATATCTGGTGTAGTAATACAGTGATGCATGAGACTATACATATGCGTTTACCGGCATAGGTGTGGGTGTCTTTTACACATTGAATAAGAGTCCTTAGGTGACTTCCCCTTGCCTCCTTTGCATTTTATCAGAGATGGGTGAGCGGGGCTGGGTACACTGGTCCTTTATGTTTCTGGCTTCCTCCATGTTTTGCTAAGTCTTTCTGATACATTCTTATGGTAGTTGCATTTCCTGGGGCCTTTCAGGTCTGGTTTCTCTGTTCTTTTCTACTTTCGTCTTTCTAATTGATCTAACTGTAGAGGCAAAAGCTGCTTGTAGTAAGATTTCCTATTAATATTTAATGAAGCTTAAATGATGCTTTTGTCCTATCTTTGCCCTGCCAAGGAGTACTTTCCTTACAGTAACTAAACAGGCACTTGTCATTGTTTAAATTACTTTTCTTTTTTAAAGAGAATGAACAGTGTGACAAAAAGTAAGAGTCGTGAAAGGCCAGAGGAAAGAGGAATCTACAATCTTACTTGCAACCTGAGCTGCTTACTAAAGTCATGCAGTTGGCGAGAATGCCAGGAATGCAGTGAGGCTTCCTACGCTGCCTGACTGAACAATGGCAGGTCCAAGGCTCCTTTCAACAGACAAGGAACAAAGTTAGTCTTCCTTCGGTTTCCAAGTCACACACTTCTCTTCTTCCAGCCCTTCCTCTGGCCATGGCTGGCTCTCACACCCATGATAATATCTGCACAGTGATTAGTGGTCCCCCAGTCCCTCTGTGCGTGTGCCTGACCACATTTGATCTTAAGAACAACTGAGTGGTACCTAGGCGAGGTTTGCATCACCCTAGCTTTACAAATGCAGACACTGACTCACGTCCCAAGACTGCAGGGCAGAGAGTAACAGCCTGGTAAAGACGTGAATTCCGGTCTTCTCACCCCAGACCTGCACTCTCCACACCATCATGGGGCCTCTCTCATGTGCCTGTAATTCTACATTATTTGTGACGTTCACCTTGACTCTGTTGTTTTCTTGTAACTGAAATCCTGACTTTTCCAGGAAAATAAAACAACCTCAGAAATGTAAACATAAAACCTTTTCTCTCGGTCAACTTTTGGGTTTTTTTATAACATGCTCTTTCTTTGAAAGGAAAAAGGAATCCTAAAGATGGCACATCTGTCCCTTACCTACAAGGCACATTGGAAAAATAAGACCCAGAGCAAAGTAAGTTCCATCATGACTGCGAAAAAATGAATCAAGGTGGAAAACAGAGGGATTAGCAGGTACATCACAGGTGGGAGACATAACAATTTGCCAGTGATGCAGCCCTTTGTTTTATAGTGCAGGAACTGTAAATGCTGGAGCTGTTTATGTGCTGGTGTATTCATAACTTATATTGAAAATAATCTATCAGCAGTGCTAACATTTGTGGAGACAAATTCCTTTATTCAGTAAATATTTACTCCCCTCGCCCTCAGCCTTGTGTGGTCCATTTGCTGAGTTCTGTAGATGAAAAAGGAGTAGGCAGCTGGCTTTCCAGGTTTCACGCTAGGAGGCACCAGAATGTCAGCTGCCTGGAGCTGTGCTCTGAGTGCTGGAGAAACCGAGAGGAGGACAGTCAGTTCATTCCAAAAAAATCATTCCAAAAGAAAATTCATGGAAAGCTCGTTTGCCATGTGATCCAATGAGAAAATGGCCAAATTCCAGAATTTACCTAATTTACTAAAAACTAATCTTTCGCC